ATCTAAGAAAAGTGTTATTCGGAGCAGTGCCTAAGAATTAGCTTAAAAGGATGATTCTCTAATGAATAAGGATATTATCGTGATGCAAAATCAATTAAATTAATGTATTAAATCTTCCTTCCGAACAAAGCAAGTGGCAATAAAGCGATAATAAAAGTATAATATCTTTTTCCGATAAAATAGTCGGAGTTTTGAACAGGCGTCTCCAATGCATTTAATATAAATTTAAAAAATAGATCTGATAGCCTTTCTTCTGAGTGGACCCATTAATATACAAAGCTAACACACACTTATTCACACTTATCCAATAAAATATGATTAAAAGCCATGCTCAGACCCTGTTATATGGAGAAAATGAAAGATAAATTTAAAGGTAGACTAATGACTTTAAAAAGTCTCTCATTCTAAATTATATGAAATGTGAAAAGGGTTCACGTTACCACTAACCCTCAGCAGCCGATTGTTGTGGAAGAGAGCAGTCGATAGGATCCTTGACTTTTGCAGGTAGTTCCAGATAGCACCTCAGCCTCTTATTTTGAGTGATCTGAGAAGCCGACTTAAATGCATCGGGTGAGTTTAGCTTATGCAAGGATTCTAACTTAGATCCACTGCTTGCGTTAGGTTTAGGAGGAATCCGGGACTTGAGATCATAACCAGGCGCAGGAATAAGGCTGGATTCAATTCGGGAATCCGGGCAAGAGCCAAGTCCGAACTCTAGCTGCAATCCATATCGGTTTAGAGAGGCCAAACGCTTTTCGGAGAGGGCGGAATCGCAGGCTTCCACAGTCTGTACAGGTCCCGTCGATTGAGCAGATGAACTTGGTATGAGGGACAATGGATGAGGAGCGATAAGGATGGGATTGGACGTAGTGGGCATGATTGAAGTGGGTAAGTCATAAGCTCTGCGAGAGGGAGAGTAAAGGGGCGGCGCAGACAACAGAGGGGGAATGGCTGGAAAAGCCGAGAGTCTAGAAGGTTGAGGGTTAGTCTCAACTAGAAAGCGGAATGGGGAGGCAGTGGAAATGTAATAGTAGCAGGAATAGTAAAGAAGAGGGGTGGATGTTTAAAGAAAGGAAAAAGATCATAAAATATCAGCCAGAAAACAAGCTAGAGGACGAATGAAATACAATCGTGTCGCTGAGCATACTCATATAATTGTGATAACATTGATGATCCTGTGAGAACTAGGGTAAATACAACTCTGATATAAGTTCGTAGAAGTATCTCCATAATTATTACCTAGTTGCGAAGACGAAATCAAACTAACTCAATGCAGCAAAAATAATGTGCTATGGTGTAATTGCGAGATTGCTTAAAATGGTTCGTCGCAAAGATCCTAGCATTCCTTAGAGTATCAATCTCCCATTACATAGAATCTATGCAGAGCTCTCATCTCTTATATGAAATGCATTGTACGATAAGTCAAGAAAATAACCAAGATGTTCAGTATACTATTGAAAGTGTATACTTTTGAAAAGGGAGTTTCACAATAAAAGAGACGAACAAGTCAAATGTAGCTACATTAAGATCCATAAATCCTTTAAATCTTGTATCAAATGAAAGATAGACGTCCTAGGGGATTTATAAACACCGAAGAACAGGTTGGTAGGATGGGGGGAAATAAAAGAAGAGGACACTTAACTACAATGGATTGCATATTAAAGAAATTATAAGCAAGGAGAAATACCAATTTTGATTGACAAACCTGGTGAAAATAAGTCGAATCTAAAATAAAGTTAATAGGCAATATTAGAAAAAATGAATAGAATCAAAGGTTGAAGGAGCAGAGCTAATGGGGGTAGATTTACCCTGAAGAGGCGAGTAAATTACGAGAACATGATCGGTTCCCCGAAGAAACCAACTGCCGCCGACGGCGCTGTATCAATGAAGCTTGATGCTGGTGCTGAAGCTGATGAAGATTTTGATTTGGATGGTGATTTTGATAAATTCCATGTGGTCGTTGCTGTCCGTGTGACGATAGTGGGAATGTTGATGACTCTAAATGACTAGGTAAATATGCCGAGACCTGTTGCAGCGAAAGAGGCGATTTGAGCTCGTCGTTTAAGGGAGCACGGGAAACAACATCTCTACCAATAACATCGTCAGAATGCCCAGGGCCGGCAAGTCGTGTAGGCTCAGGTAAACCAGCTCTTGGATGCCGAATTTGGTTGTTGGCGAAATTCGAGGAATATGAATGGATCGACGTTGGAAGATGAAGCTGTTGCTGAGCTGAGAGCTGATAAGTCGGTACATCGACTGATCTAACAGAGTGGGAATCGGAGAGATTTGTAGAACAAATGCAGCTCAGACAAGTTGTGGTTGAGACAAAGGTATGATCAGGGCTGTTAGACAATGCCTGGCCGGGTGCGACTTGACAACAGGGCGACTGAGAGCTGGTTATGTTCGGAAATGTGTTAGAGGGCGACGAAATTAGATGGTTGTAGCATTGAGGGATAGTGGAACACAAACCAAAACTTGAATGATGGATGGCAGAGTCGGAAGCCGTTCTGGATGCATAAATCGAAATGGTGTTTGTATGCGGGAAGTTGAAATAATAAGGATTTGTTTTATGTTAGGCAAAACGAGTTAATAATGCTAAAAT